TTTTTTTTAGTGTTCTGTCTGACGACAGGTCCGTATGAACAGGATCCTTCCATCCTTTTCTCGGACTGGGATCTGTTCATATACGTTCTTGGCAGATGATCCAGAGGTGGTTTGCCATTGCCTTCTTCTGTTTGTGAATGGAGTAATTGTTGGGATGCCCCGGAGAAACCGGGGAAGCCCCCGGAGGAAAACTCCGTGTTGCCTAGACCACGGCCTTGCCCAACGCAAGTTATAAATTCGGGCACCGCCGGGAATCGAACCCGAGACCCCAGGATTACAAGGCCAGCGTTCTAACCGCTAGACCACCTCATCTTATTATTATTTAGTGTTCTGTCTGACGACAGGTCCATATGAACAGGATCCTTCCATCCTTTTCTCGGACTGGGACCTGTTCATATACGTTCTCGGCAGATGATCCAGAAGTGGTTTGCCATTGCCTTCTTCTGTGTGTGAATGAAGTAATTGAAACCGGGGAAGCCCCCGGAGGAAAACTCCATGTTGCGTAGACCACGGCCTTGCCCAACACAATTTTGCGATGTTATTTTGTTTTTCCAGATGCATGTGGACGTCTACAGCTTCTCATTTACCAGTAATTTAATTTACTTTGCATAATATTTTGTTATATGAGGCGCCATTTAACCTATGTAATATATGCAGAATGATTACATAACCTTCGAACTAACAATCCACTGCTACTTGAAGGTGATGGAAGACATGACAGACAGACGAATGACAGACGTACAGGAAATATAAAAACTGTCAGAAACTACGCGCCCTTAATCAGCTTTCCGTTTGACATGCTCTTATACACATGCAAAACGTTCGGTAACAAAATAGTTTACACACGCCGTGTGCCCCAGCTACAGTCCTTGGATCCTTACTCATCCTCAACGCAATGAGCAGCTGTCAGAATCCATTTACTGCTGAGGATAGTTCCGCCACACACGTGCTCATAATCGTACTGCAGCGAAATCTAGAACAGAGAAATGAACCCTTATTATCGCACAGAAGTTATTAAATTTGTGAAAATATAAGAATATAAACATTATTAGAATTCTCATGATATTACGCGGAAAAGGTACATCTACGTCTGAGCCATTACTGCCAGAAACTAGGTTAATCTAAATGGAAACTGCTACTGAGAAGTTGAAAAGGAATAATTCCCCGGGGTACTGATCAGATTCAGGCCGAATTGTTCAAAGCAAGAGACGAAACGTTGCGTTCCGAGATACGCAAAATTATTCGCTCGTTATGGAGTAAGGAGGAAATACCACATAAATAGAAGGAATCTATAATTGTACCAATTCATTAGAAGGGTTGTAAGACTGACTGTAATAATTATCGAGGAATCTCCCTCTTATCGCCTGCCTACAACATTTTATTCAACATTCTTCTGGCGAGGTTGAATCCATATGTCAGTGAAATTATTGGGGATCATCAGTCTGGGTCCCGACGTAAAAATCTGCAGCTGATCAAATTTTCTACATTCTCCACGCACTACAGAAACAGTGGGACAGTCCATAAACTATTTATAGACTTGAAGGAAGCCGACGACTCATTTAAAAGAGAAGCTCTTTACAATATTTTGAATGAATTTGGTGTACATAAGCAGCTAATCAGGCTAATTAAAGGGTGTTTAAATGAAACTTCTAGCAAAATTCGCGCAGATAAACATTTGTCCAATACATTTCTTATTGAGAATGGTCTGAAACAGGGAGATGCTCTATCGCCGCTGCTTTTCAATGTTCCCTTAGAATATGTCATCAGAAAACCCCACGAAAATCAAGGCGGTTTGAAATTGAATGGGACGCATCGGCTTTTGGTCTATGCTAATGATATTAATCTGTTTGGCGATGATATAAATAGTATAAAAGCGAACACAGAACACTGTTAAGGGCTAGTAGGGATGTTTGTCTAGAGATAAATGCGGAAAAAAGAAAGTATATGATCGTGTCTCGGCATCAGAATTCGGGACAGAACCAGAATATAAGGAGAGCTAATGAACCGTTCGAAAATGGGCAACATTCAAGTACTTGGGGACGACAATACCAAGCCAGGATGACATTCATGACGAAATCAAGAGCAGATTAAATTCAGTCCAAAATCTTTTGCCCTTCCGTCTCATACCAAAAAGAACTAAAGGTTAAAATATTCAAAAGTGTAATTTTGCCAGCTGTGCTGTATGGGTGCGAAACTTGGTCTCTCACTTTGAGGGAGGGACATAGATTGAGGGTCTTTGAGAACAGAGTGTTGAGGAGGAGGATATTTGGACCCTAAAGGGAGAATTACGGACCATGGAGAAAATTGCATAATGATGAGCTTAACACGGCCTGTACTCCTGACCTGATAATGTTAAGGTAAGGTACTAGTTGGGAGATCTGAAGGGAGACCACTGGGAAGACTTAGGCGTAAGTGGGATGATAACTTTAAGATGGACCCTAAGGAAACAGGAATCGACGGGGAAAACTGGATGCAGCTGGCTCAAGACAGAGTCCGGTGGCGGGGTTTTGTGAACACGGTGATGAACCTTCGGGTTCTATAAAGAAAGTGGGCTGTTCTTTAACATACCATCGACGCTTCAAAGAATTTCCCGAACAATAGAGTGAGTGTATTAGAATTCATAAGAGGAATTTTTGATGAGAGTGACAAAGCCGAACAATTTTCTTCCTACAGGAGTTGTTTGTTTAAGTAGCTTCCGGGTTTCTCAAACTGCCGGTAACTTCAGATACTCTCGCAATTTGGTGGTCGATTTAATGGTACTTTTGCTTTATACAGCGACCAAATATGTAAGTGCCGTGCTGTACCTTTGATTGCGGAGACGCAAGATTGTAACGCAACGTTTTGAAAAAGAAGTTCACGTGTTGAACAACAGTGATAAAAATTGTCTAACTGAAGGAGACTTGCCGTAAGACGTTTCCTTCGCATTCTCTGTCTTTCTCATTATTTCGCTGCACCCCTTGTTTGGTTATGTTAATAACCTGCTGGCTTTTCCATCATCTTTGTTTAAAATAATTTTAAGTGTAATCAACCAACGTCAGAATCCTTTAGAAATGAACCCTGTTGACTCCCCACGTGTTGCATATTTAACATTCCCTTCTTTCTTCGTGTCTCTGAACCTGTGCCAAATTTAATTTCGGTTGAGATTTCAGGTTCTGAAGGCGGCGACTATGAAGATGACTATCATTTGGAATGTTGAGCCATGTAATCTGATAGTAGTTTAACGACGTTTCGGAGGTGCTTGCTGCGTCCTTTATTTCTCCGATAATGGAAACAGCAAAAATCTTTTAAACGTCGATATCGTCTCGATGATAGAGGCAGAATCACCTCCGAAACGTCGGTAAACTTCTAGGAGACTACACGGCGCAATATCACAGAAGAGAGAAATAATTATTTCTTTTCCCTGAAAGAGATCTTAGTATTCAGGCTTTGTAGAAAAATGGCGATTTCTTGCCTGGCGTAACTCCGTATACTTTTCATCGAGTATCTTTTGTTTAAAATAATACGTATTCTTTCAACGTCGGTTCAGTGGCTGAGGAGAGTCGGTCTGAAAACAGTTATAAGGTCACGCGCTTAGGCCCGGATTACATTCCTACTGCTCTGGATGGTGCTGAACCTAAGTTTCTATCTTTATTATCTAAGTTCAAGCCAGGTAGCTGAGAAGTTTGTTATTGAACGTGATTTGCTGTCATGTACCTCTAAGTTCCACCGAAATAGGTTGTGTCTTAACCCATTTTCCTTTCAAACTTTTGTCTCGTAAGTTTCATAAATGTTTATCCTCTCTGAGTTACACGTGGGCTTTTGTCGAATGACGTCAAATATGAAAGAAAAATACATCCTTCGAGCCTTTAACCCGAAATTAATAATTGACCTATATGTGTTCTTCTACCTGGAGGTGAGTTTCGTTATTGAACCTAACGAGCAAAACTACTCAGATCCTCGCACGGTTTTTACCTAACAGCTACAAATAGAATAATCTAATTCTATTGAGCTAATTCCTTATTCAGAAGCTTATAGTTACTCAGCTGGTAAAACTCCCCAACGCCAATGGAATCCGAATTTTAATTGCCTTATTCACAACATACCGCCATATCTTGAGCCAGATGAATCCAGTTAAGTATTATTTTCGCAACATGCATTTTAATATTATCCTCCTTTCTACTCGTGATATCTCATTTCTCCCATGCATGATGCATGCCATGCCTATCTCTTCCTTCTTAACATATTCATCCTAATAATATTTAGTAAGAGTAAAATTTATTGAGTTCCTCATTACAAAATTCTCTCCGGCCTCCTTTAAATTTTACCACACTTAAATCCATTTATTTTCCACAGCATCTTACAAAATTCTCTCCGGCCTCCTTTAATTTCACCACACTTAAATCTATTTATTTTCCACAGCATTCCATTTACAAACACATTCAGTCTATGTTCATCCCTTACTGTGAAATAAAGTGTCAAATTCATGCAGAACGAAAGAAAGACTTAAATGTTACGATATTCAGGTTTTTTTATAGCAGACAAGAAGACATAAATTCTAAACGGCTTGGTAAGAAGAATTCCCTAATATTATCTGCTAATAATTTTTTCGTGAATGTAATTTTAACTTCTTACACGATATTCAGGTTTTTTTATAGCAGACACGAAGACAAAAATTCTAAACGGCTTGGTAAGCGGAATTCCCTAATATTATCAGCTAGTACTTTTTTCGTGAATGTAATTTTAACTTCGTACCGTCGTTCTCAAATGCTTAAAGTTTCCTACGATTTTTATTTAGACACACGGGTAAATTAGAAATGCATCCATATTAGTCGGAATGCCTGAAAATAAGAGACCAAACCCAGTATTTAGGCTTAAGTTGCAGGTAATATAATACTGAAATGAATATTAAAGAAATGGCATGTGGGAGTAAGACTGGATTAATTTGGCTCAGGTTAGGGTCCAGTGGACCCTATACATTGCGCACTTGTGAACATTCTAATGGGTTTTCGGGGCGATGTTAAAGGTATTGAGTTACTTCACAAAGTGATCGCAGGTATTTAATTAAACTTTATGTAGTTCGAATGCAGTCAGTTTGCAAATCACGTCACATGCATATGAAATTGCCTGTAATGCAGTCTGTAAATGGAGCCACGTATCTGAACTCACCTGAAATGGAAATTGTCCTGGCGTCGCATCAGTTCCGTTCACTATTCTGCCACCATTTATTGTGTCGACGTTTCCTGGTGAACCTTTAACACATACATATTTTTTTTTTATTTCTCGAATCATTATATATGATTCTTAGCAGGAAATGCTTGAGAGATCGAATTATCAGCTTGAAGTAGTAGCTTCAAGGTCATCGGAAATATGCGTAAAATGTCTTGTAAAAGTCAATAAAGTACTTGTGTTGATAGATTGAGACTGGAATGTCACAGTTATAAAAACTATGTTTAACTTGGGAAAAATCTGTCACATAAGATAAGGGAAATGATCGTAGAAAATTATATTGTAGATATCTGTAGCTTATTTTATTCTAATTTTTATCAGTTCACGTGCAAAGTAAATTGTTTAAAAAACAGATTAAAGAGTTTACCCATTTCCAGTACCCCAAATGTTCCCAGTCGGTTGTACTCAGAGATCAGACATTAACAGAAGAGACTTTACTCGTCTGTAACCATCGAAGATTTGAACTCATACTGAATGTAACGAGATGAAACAGGAAGTCCGAGCTCAAACTCGAGTGTCCGGGGAAACGAGAATAGTCGATTCTCTGAATCTGAACAACAAATTATTCATGCCACTTCCGAAACAGAAACTTCGCGAAAAGTAGAGAGGAACGAGGTTAAAGAGTCGCCGAAATATCTTCGAGAGGAAATTAAGAAGTCGTCAGAATTAAAACGCTATCAAACTGACGCCACAAGAAGACGGATATGTGCTAAAAATCCGGAAGGGAAATATTTGTTTTGTTTCCCCACAGATTGGTAAATAATCCAGTTACTTTTCCACGATTAATCATGCGGTACAGAATGGTACGATATTGTAACCCTATGTCAAATATTATGTAAATGTAGATGAATTTCTATTTTAAACAGATTTATGTATAAAAATTAAAAAAATAAGCCAACAACACTTTTTTATCCATACATAATGTACGATTCTAATGTATCATTAGTCACAGGCTACCTAAAAATCACGTCCCATAATCCAGAAACTTATTTCTTAATCTTAGTGCGGAGAAAAACGTTTAAGGCAACTTGTATGCTATGTTTACTTGCCTGCTTTTATTTGTATAATTCTTGAAGGGATACTTAAACATTTGTTAAGAAGTAACGTATTTTACAAAACCGAACAAAACAATACATACCGAATGTGATACGTCTATCAGGCCTATACCATGTCTTACTCACCTTTAACTCCGACAAGTACAATGACGCTGAACAAAGTGAGAAGACGCAACATTGTGACACAATGTCAGCGAAGGAAACACTGTCCTCTTTAAAAGAAGATCCCTAAATTTAAGGCTGAATAAAAATGCTTGTCTGCAAATCTTATCAAACTGGTAAGATAACAATTCAAGCACTGAAACTTATTGAGACATTATTATCAAGATCTCTTATCACGCCCACAGCAAAAGTAACACATGTTTCATAGCATTGTCACAAAATAAATGTATTGGCAGATAACAGAATGAATTCTATTGCAGAAAGAGAATAGAGTTAAAGTTTCAGCCAATGAAACTTTTATCGACGGAGCTGTTCTAAGTAATGAAAATATATAGCCTGTAACAACTTTAAACGTAGATGGTTCTCCAATCTAGGCCCCGTCATCGGCTATCCTAAGTGGTTATGCTCCTGATTTTCATCAGAAATAACATCGGAATTGATCACTGAAACATGTGATGGAGAAAAGAAATCTGCAAGGCTGTGTTATTCTGAATTCTTGAATTCATTAGCACGTTTAATGTTACGGAGAGTTTATATCGAATCAAAAACGTATTGCCAGTGAAAATTTATCTGCTCTCCTTATCTTGAGACTGAATTATGCAATTGTACTTTTCAAAAGTATAGTTTGAAAACTTGTTATTAAAGTATCTGTTATTCTCAGCAGTGAAATAAAACATAAGGTTCGTACTGGAAATAATGCGGATACGTGATATAAAGTGTAAATGGCATTACAGTCATTGAGTATTCTGAAGCATTTCTCTTCATGTTTTAGTAGATGATGTCGTCTCTCTGTACCCCAGAGGAATTCTTCCTATAACTGAGCCAGCCTGCTGGAAGCAGAATTCCTCATTTTATCTGCTGTAATGTAATTAAGGACAAGGATTAAGTGATACATCTGTGCTCAATCCCACAGAAGGTAGCATTCTAATCCGACCTGCACTTTGATGTATCAACTCGTTGTTTCTATCTGAGAGCTTTAATTAACTGCAAGAGACTTCTCTGGTGAACACGAAATATACCATTTCAGATTTTGTGTGTCTAGACCGGCTTTACTTTGTTAAAGTACCTGTGATATGTTTCGGCACCCAATTTATACGTTTCTATCTACGTAAGTAGATTATTAGTTTCTGCTATTAATATTACAATAATTTTAACATATTTATCAAACAGAATGGAAATGATGAGGACTGCTCGCTTGTTCAAAACGCTGTAGAACTTAGAATAGCGCACATAAAGTTGCGAGTTGAACCTGACTGACATAATAAGACGTTTCCAAACACACACGAGATTTGTCAGTTAATAATTTATGAAGATTACTGTAAATGATACTAAATTTTGGCGAGGGTAAAATATTTTAGAATGACTGTAAGAAATTAGTATTAGTCTAAACTTAACGAACCATTAAAAACAGGTTGAATCTGTAAATCTTTTAAACTTAACAGTTTTGTATCTTTTATGTATTTATGATTTATTTAACGACGCTTGTAATAATTTAGTGTAGCGTCGAATAATAGGACTTAGTGAATGTCGAAGGGACACGGAAAGAAGATTTTGTCTGTTTGAAGGTTCACTAACAGCATTTACCCGAGGGACTGAATAAAACCACAAATATCCGGCAGGATAGCTGGTCTCTGGGCCGTGATTTGAACGTGGTAATTTCGGAATACAAGGCAAGGGTCCAAACCACTCGATTGCAAGGTTTGGTACTCCTGTCTCAAAACCTGTTCATATGGTATCTGTGACCTCTGTATCAATAAATAAATAAATATCAAAACGTAGCAATAACGTTTTATCGAGTGACTTTTATATAAACGCTCTGTGTTTTGATCGTGTAGTTTTGGGTAGATAAAATTGCAACAGAGCTTTAAAGTTGGTTTTGTAATTATATGTTATGTCTGTAGGTGTGTGCGCATATTTATAATAAAATTAAGAAACGATTATATCTCCTATTTACAAATTATTGTTGTTCGAAATATGTCAGAGTAGGATATTATCTATTGTTTTGTATGGCCGTGTTTTTATTCTAAAATACAGTAAATAAAATAGAGAAAATTACACAAGAAGATTGGTAATTTGTGCTTTTCACGTTTAGGGCGACGCGTTCGAAAATAGGCCAGAAGGACATGGATCATATCTGGGGTATCAGAAACGTGGCGTTCCATATTGGTTGTCAGACCCCATTGGGAGGGTCACTAGAGACGGGATGATATTACAGAAGTCGATTGTGGTTATTTGAATCACATTCAGCCGACAGGATAAGGATCAGTGGTGAGCTGTTGTGGTGACCAGAATCACCTTCTTGTTTAATTACGACAAGGGATTTTCTTCATAACCTGATTAACTCTGAGCTCTTCAGTGTCTGAATCGTGGAGTCTCTTATGTATTATTATTATTATTATTATTTAGTGTTCTGTCTGACGACAGGTCCATATGAACAGGATCCTTCCATCCTTTTCTCGGACTGGGACCTGTTCATATACGTTCTTGGCAGATGATCCAGAAGTGGTTTGCCATTGCCTTCTTCTCTGTGTGAATGGAGTAATTGTTGGGATGCCACGGAGGAAAACTCCGTGTTGCCTAGACCACGGCCTTGCCCAACACAAGTTATAAATTCGGGCACCGCCGGGAATCGAACCCGGGACCCCAGGATTACAAGGCCAGCGTTCTAACCGCTAGACCACCGTGGCTTCTCTTATGTACACATTTATAATAATAGCTACCGGGGCGTGATGCTGACCACTCACCCCCCATCTAGTGCCGAGGTCAAGAAAGAGAGGAGCTATACCTCCACTCACCCCCAAGCGCCTACATGGCGTATAGTGGGACAAACTTTACATAGGTCTTATTTGTGTTGTTATTTAATTGTTACAGACTTAGTGCTGAACTGAAACTATGCCTCGTATAACTGTGTGTTTCTTAATTCAGATATTTTGTAACTACAGTAAGAATCAAAATTATATTCACGAAGGTAATAAGAGGAATTTAAATTAGTCTAGCTTGCAGAACTGAAAGTTTAATTTTTCCATCTCACGTAGAAAATTTAAATTTTACGCATAAACACAGTTTTGCCTGAATTTTATTTTAGAATGTACCTTGGAATTTCGCGTAGAGGAAGAAAATCCATTTGCTGACTGTATTTCCTTCGAGTGCTAAGAAGATTACGTACTAATGAGACTAATAATTTGTATTATTCATTAATTAATATTAGCATATAATATGTGAATTAAAAGAGTTTAGTGGGGAAACCTTAAGGAAGAGAGACTCCTTAGGTAATTTAAGTATATATTGGAGGTTAATACTAAAATGGTGAAACAAACAAGGAAGACAACGAGATGTGGACTGGATTCATCTGGCTGAAAAGAGAGTATATTATCATAGACAAACTTAATATATAATGGACATACTTATTATTTGCATCGAAGATGTGCAGTGGCGTTGGTACAGTCTGCGTAAACCTGATGATAACCGTTTATTGTCGAAATACATAATTCAGGATAACAAACACGTGTTAAATGGTGATAACAAAGTCGATAATATTACTAGCTGGTATTTGTAAACATGGTAATAAACCCCTTGCGTTCCATACATGACAGAGAATGTTTTGGCCAGCTGAGCTACTATCAGCTTCCGAAGGAAGACTGCATCACGGGGTTAGTGTAAATGTACTTATTAAAGTGACCGTGGTGTTAAGTGTTATTTAAGTGGGAACAATGGAATGGTGAAATGAAGTGAATTTAAATGTCAGTAAAAGGACCAACCTCTGTGTTTGCGAGATTAACTTGGCTCATTAGTTGTTGGTGAAATTTAATTTATTCAAAGATAGCGCGTGCAGAATTTCCCATGTAAAACGTAAGCTAACTTCAAAAGTGTTTGTAGGTTTGGTGACATAAGTTGTGAACAAGAAATTACAGAAGAACTTTACAACAAATGCTCCATCAGAAATTTTGTTACTATTCGGTGAATTTTTATTTTATGCGTTTCTTGCTTGTCAGGATACAAATTACTAAATGCTCTACGAACAGCAGCAAACAACTTTGATGCAGACAATGTTCGAGAATGTACACACCTTCTGCTCGTCTACACCTTCGAAGGTTTTGCGCAGCTGTCGTGAGGAGCTGTCTAGCAATTAGCATGACATTGGCTCGAGTGTTACGGGCTGGTTAAGAGAGTATAGTAGGTAGGAGTGAATCTGCTTCTGATTTCAGTTTTGTCCCGTAAGGGTGGTTACTGCGTTGCGTAATAAATGGTACACTTTATATAATATCTACAAAAAGATATTACGGTCATTTTGAATTATGTTTTTTGAGAAATGTGGGAGTATGACATCCCGATGTATTTTAAGGTAATATTCTATTGAGCTTTTAACCTTTTGAAGCAGCTTTTCTATTTGCTAACTATATATTTACCCACAGTGTGTTAAAGGGTTTCATACGATTCTTAGAAATTCCCCTGAAGTTGAATGAAATATCTGCTTACGAAATGTCTGTGCGTACCCACATGTCCAAGTGGCTTTAGAACCCCGAATATCATTTCGTTAAACAGCATTTATCAATTAATATTTGTAATGTAAATGAGCTTTGTTTATTTTAAGTGAGGAAGTGAATTTTTAAAATAGTTGAGATCATCTTTGTTCTTCAGGTTGTCAGGAAACTTATTTGTGTATAAATATTAACTTTTGCATTAAAGTAGATTCTTTGTTCTGTGATAAGACGTACAGTGGTGTGGTAATATCGATAGTACAATTACTCTCTCAGATGAAACAAGATCACAGGCCTGATTAATGGTGTCTGTGACCGCAACTTGACGTGACCAAACCAATTGTTAGAAGTGGGTGTCGCGACCTTCTGCGTAAACTAATACAATATCTCATTGTCTTGAGTTTCCGAGATTTGTCTGCACAACGAAGAGGAACTGTTGCAAATGGCAAATGTTCGTTGCATAGTCTCTGTTGCGTAATCACAGGAGACGTTATGAAAATTAACTGTGGTGGGTCTGAAAAAGTATTTTACATTCAAAAATCCGCCGGTAGTGGACAATAACACATTTAGTATTGCAGGATCTTATGATTTTTATAAGATTCAAAAAAAAAAATTATTCTGTAAACGTTGAATCGACTTTACTCCTATACGCAGTTTGTTTCACAATTTCCTGCATTATTGTTCATGTTTTAAGTAAGGCCGGTCAGAGAAGTACAAGATAAGAACTCTTCAGAAATGAAGACATTAGAAATAAACTGGAAATACAGTCAGTAACACAGAAAATAATAAAACAGAAAAATGACAGTCACGCATAAAACGAATGCAGGAGGAAGGAGTACTGAAACAAATCCTGGAGTACCGACCAATAGGAGGTAACCTCCAGGGCGCATCTGAAACTATGGAGGGAAAACGAGAGACCAGAACAGGCTGTGTTCTAAACCATGAAGGAAGGAAGGAAGAAGAAGAAGAAAAACAAGAAGGAATGATAATCGTTAAGCGTTAATTTATTTCTTTAAAATGTCAGATAAATTATATTAAATATAGATCGAGTACCCTGATTTCATGTTCTTTCCTTAATACAGGAAACCAAATTTGACAACCGCGCAAACAAGAGATAAAATTGTAGTTAAACGTATTTTAATTTTGATGCTTTTATACAGTAACTAGGAATTCTATTCAATTTAAGTTGGGTTTTTTATTTTGTTACGTTTACAAACTGTGGAGGGTGAGACATGTAAGGATGACTGACGTGAAGTCAAAGTTGTCGGTGGCTGTTTTAATACTCTAGCCCGGGGACCTGCTTGGACTGAGCAAATACACGGAAGTTATTTTGACAACCGGTCTCTGTCCGAGATGCAAAACGAGTAACCCCCCTCCCCACCAAGGTATTGAGGACTTCTCTCCACACCACCAGTTTCCATTACAGCCCATCCATGCAACCCAATGGATAGGGACGAGATAATTTTCATGTGAGGTTAAGGTTAGCGTGTGAAACTGCTCGTCTAATGCTGGCTGGTCAGAATCCCTAACGTGGAGCTTAGATACCGGAACATATATTTATTTTCGGATTTAAACCTATGATAATTTTGGTGATATCTTGACACGGGTGTAAAGTATGCTTCCTTATTATTAAAATGACAAAAATTGATGAACTTTGAAAAAAGGCTTTCATCTCAGCCTAATGTTTAGCAAAGGGAAGGACGGGTTTCTAATGAGTGTTAAAGCGGCCGCGGTTCGTCCAGACCACAATTTCGAACGAGTCCCTGGCCTCGCTAACAGCGTCTTTCAGGAAAGTTAACACCCGTTGTTGGCGAGGGATTAAATTACTGGGAAATGCGACCCGGAGCCTTTATTCCCCTTTTCCCTCCCACACTACGTGTATAAGCAAATAACTTAAAAAGAACCTGCCACAATAAGTTTTGGAGCACAACAATTCATGGTATCCATCAGTCTTTAAAATCGTAGCAATGACAAATATTAGTTCCTACTAGTCCACAAGAATACAGATTTAAAAAAAAGTAAATTACAAAATATCTCAAGAAAACCGATGTACCAGCCATATGAGATCGTCTCACTCATCATTGAAGTGAAATGAACAACACTCACCAGTATATACATCATGGCCAGTTTCGTCTCCATATCTGGAAAGAGAAAGTGAATGTCAGTATATGTGGGCCAAGACACAAACAGCTGGCACTTAAGTGACAACATTTACATAAACACAGATACATGCGACTCACTTCTAGCCTCTTGGAGGGCCTCCGCACCCCTTTCATAGGGTTCAAAATACTCTAATGCAACTAGGAAACACTGAACACCACACAGATACAAGAAACACCTCCTCACTCCACAGACGCCATCTTTGTAATCAGCCTCGCGGAGAAAACGAGAGCTGTAAATAGCCGTTCCCGCCGTCTGCGCCACCTGGGATTCTGGACAAGAATTAACGCTTCGACATGTAAAGCCACAGCTATGGAATTTTGAATAATTTGCATAATGGATATAATGTTTTTTCCGAGCTATGGAGGAAATTCTTGTATATTGCACGGCAAAGTTGAACGCGATCACAATGTTCGTGCTTTGACCCTGCATCGGGGTCTCCTGCTTATAAACTGAAATGTTCATTTTCAAAGGATTTGCGCCAGCTGTAATCGTGACTTCGTATTCAAATGCTGAAATAAATTGAAAGACCCGCTATTTAGAATATGCACCACGACAGAGAAAAGCTTATCGTCCTTAATTTCCATGCAACATATTTTACCGATTTTTTTTAATGTGTGTGATACGCTG